TTAGTGGGCATGGTGGTGTTGGGTTGACGGTTGGACTCGATGATCTTAGAGGTCTTTTCCAACCTCAATGATTCTATGAATTTTCTATGAATTTTCTGTGACCGGGAAGGCAAGGACTGATGTTGCTTGAAATGTATTAGAGCATGTTGCTGACCACGGACCAGCCAAGGCTAGGCAAAAGTAGACAAAGCTTCACACTGCAAGTGGAGATTATGCATGCGGTTGTTCGGTGTGTGCTTGCATATGTGTGTGTCTGACACTGCCTTTGTTCTTGCTCTAGAACACCAGAACATGGGCTTCTGGAAAAACATGACCTCTCTGTGCTCTATACCTGGGGAATGCAGAGCATTTACCTCTTTCCCAGAGCCTTCTCTAGACAGGCCCTTTAGGAAACAGGGCTGTGATTCAACAAGGAGAGGTTTGAGAAAATAGGGCTGCTATCCTGTAATTGCCCTGACATCTACCACAGCCTGACCTCCCTAAACCTGTATGTCTTGCATCTAGAAGAGTGAATGCCATGTATCATTTTAAGGAAATAGATGGGTTTGGTGGGAGGAACCCTGGCTCAGAGGTTGATGATAGGATATGGAGTTTTTTGTCTCTAAGGTACACAGCTTGGGGTCTGACCCAAGCTTGCTGTAACTAACGCTGAAGGACTTTGGTTTGCATTGGCCTGTGGCCCAGGATCAAACATTCAGGTCAGAGGAAGAGGGAGGAATGGTCACTAGCAGAATAGCATGAGGGAGGTTAGACAGGACACATTCCTGCTCAGCTTTTCACAGCTGAGGGGCCTGCACTGTAGCTTGCAGCTCTTGTTACCTCGGTCATTCCTGTGTGTATTTACTATGATATGCAATGTTAAGAGTTACTCCCCAATGAGCAGGATCAGCAGAGAGGCTGAGAGATGAACAGGCCATGGAGATTTCACTTTTTCAGCTATGATCTGGATTCGGAAGTTTGTCTGAGAAACTGGGCTGAAAAGGTTTTTCTTTCATGGCTGCCCAGCCTCTGTAAGTGCCCTGGAAACCCTTGGACAATGCTGAGCCCCACATACCAAGCAGTTCTGCTGTGCCCCATCATGACAGTGATGAGATTACAAAGCAATCTGTGCAAAAGCAGGAAGAGATTCCCTGTCCTAGAACGTGACTTCAGAGACACCCATCTCCGTGAAAATTCAAAGAGATTAGAAACAAGAACTAGTAAAACCTTTACTCTGCGAGAAAAGCAATATTTACAGTGATAAAGATAAGTCACTCCCATGCTCCAGGGCATGCCCTCCTGCCAGGATAAGGAGGGAATTTCCTTTGAGACTCTTCATGACCCTCCAGCTCTGATACTGTAATGCAATTGTGTAGGCTGGGGTGTAAGGAAGGTTTCTGTCTTCTGATGTATAACAAACTGGCAGGGAAAGGAAATTAGACTTTAGGATCCTTTTTTGTGTGTTTCATCAGGGAGTTGAAACTGATAGTGAAAGGTTTGTTTCACTGAGGATTTAGCAGGGTTGGACTGAATATAGAAAACAGGTATGGTTTGACATGACGTCTCCCATGAAGGACAGTGAGTGGTGGTTAGGAAACTTCCTGTCAGGTGTTATCAGCCTCCCATGAATATAGCACTAAAATAAAAATGGAAAATGCAGTTACTAGTAGGAAGGTAAGTAGAGCCTTAAGAAACGACCAAATCTTCTGGCCTGGTATAAGCACATGCATGCATCCATTAAACGCTGCTTCTGGCTATTGGTTGCAAACACAGTGTAACTCCAATATTTCATGCTGCCCTTTTTTCAGACCTGCAGGATTAACGTAGTGCTTAATGCATGATCTAAAGCTCCTTGATATCAGTGGAAAGCTTCCTGTTGCTTTGAGAAATCTTTGAATAGAATTTCCTATCTGCTAGGGTCTGGTCTCATCTGAAATTGAGTAGATTCTGGGATTCTCTCACTTACCAAATTCTTATTACCAAACTATGGTTAACTTGGATGCTATCCTCCCTGACTCCACCACACCTTGTAGGGTGCTAGAATTAGGGTTTCAGAAGACAATTCAGCAGCTGTCCTTTTAGATGGAGAAGTTTCCTAGTGGCAGGGATTGAACAAAGACCTCTTATAGCCTGAGCCCCTTCTGTGTTGTTGAAAAGACCTGGTGCCAATAGTGGCGTTCAGCAGCTGGTATTGACCAGGAACTCCAATTTCCCCAGAGAGAGACAGTGCTTCATACTTGGTGATATATGTCTACAGTAGATCTGACTTAAGAATTACCTAGACCAGTCTGTTTTTAGAGTATCTGGTGCTTCCGATATGTTCAAGGTGCAAGAAGTACAGTACACACATTTTAGTAGGAAGGGCAATATGTTTTGCATGCATTTTACTCTGTGTTTTAATTTTCATTCAGCAATTTTAATTAAAGGAAAAGAAATAGAAATGCAAAGCTTTGCAGGATGGTGGGGGATTTTCACAACAGCCAGTTTTAATGTTGACAACTGTATTCTGTCATGTTAGCAATTTCCTGCTAGCGGGATTGCTACCTGTTGGGCTGGGCAGCTGCAAACTGTTGAAAGGCAACTGTGTGACAGCTAAGAGGTGGGTGCACGCAGAAAGGAATTGTGTCCCATAAAGTCAATGTAGCCTTTGCTTTGGCATTCTTGGGACAGAAGATGCAATGGAACTATAATTACTTAATCCAGATTCAGCACAGCTACGGATACCATAAACATAATCTTAACCCCACCTTCCTTGCGTATAAGGAGATATAAACTGGCTTAGGGCAGAGAATAGTTTGAAGCATTCTTCGGCAGGAAAAAAAAAAATCACTCAGCATGTAATTCTTGGTTTTAAAAATAATTTTATTCTTCTGAGTCTGTTAGAAACTGGACCTTCACACAGGTTCACCCCCTCCATGTGAAAGTTTCCCTCATTGTATGCCATGAGCAATAGCTCAACGAGAGTTTAAGCTGACACCCAGATGTCTCTCTTGCTCTCTGTTGGCAGGGATCTTTGGACAGCGATTGGAGGACACTGTACAGTACGAGAGGAGGTATGGCCAGCGCTTGGCCCCACTGCTGGTGGAACAGTGTGTGGATTTTATTCGGGAACGAGGTCTTACAGAGGAGGGGCTCTTTCGGATGCCTGGCCAAGCCAACCTTGTCAAAGACCTGCAGGACTCTTTTGACTGTGGAGAGAAGCCCCTTTTTGACAGGTGAGTTGACATCACCAAATTCAGGCTGGTTTATCTGTGGCATGTAAACTCTGGCAGGAATGGCCCTGCGGTGGCTATCCTACTTTATATGTTCTTTCCACACCATCGTTCTCTTCATTTAAAGTGCTGTCGGGGCTTTCTCCTGCATGGTGTTGGGTGCGGAGGCCTTCGCTCAGCTAAGTGCTTGAGCAGAGGGAGAAATTGAGCCCATTAATCTACATGGGGCTACTCCAGTGTTTCAGCTTAAGCACATGTTGAATGAAATGCATTGCTAGATTTGGGTGCGGCATACTCAGCTGTTGGTGGGATCCCACCGTAGAAATGGATATGACAGAGGTGAACTAGGTGTTTTACTGCTTTGATGTTGCATTCTCCCTTGCCGCAACCACAACGGATCTGCCCAGGGGCAGTATCTCAATTCTTTCCCTTCCTTTATCACCAGGTTTCAGAATAGTCACCACCATCTCACGCATGGCTGTTAAGCATGCAATGTATAGAATTGGTCAGCTTGTCATAACAAAGCGCTTTCTGACCCCAGAAGAATTCTTGGCCAAAACAATTTTTTTGGTCCACAATTTCAGCAGCTGAGATGGAACATTTATTTCAAAACTGAATATATCTTTTGATTTTCAACAAGACTTGAGTCAAATGTTTCTGAAATAAAAATGGTAATCTTGCATTTTTCTTCCCAGTATAAAAAAGTTGATGTAATCACTCCTTGCCTGGTACAAAGACATGCTAGCTGCCTTTTTGTCCTACTGACCATGCCAATGTCAGGGAGCAGCAAGGACCAGCTGCTCCGCAAAGCAAGGTGAGCCAGGAGCCAAGTGTGGCAACAAGGCTGGCAGGGGCAGTGACACAGTCCAGTCATCACCAGGCAAGTCCACAGTGACGAGGCATGTCCAAGATCAGGCTAGGTAATCTGTCTGTGAGTCAGGGTCCAGGTCCAGATCAACAGGGTCTGTAGCCAGGCACAGACATGGCTGTGAGGCAGTGGGAGTTGTATCTCGGACACGGGATAAACGGTAGAGGCTCAACTTAATAGCGGCTCCCACGGGAAGAGTGTCAGCCCTGGCTCAGAGCGCTCCGTCCAAGGTCAGCAAGGGAAGCGGGGCAGCTCTCAGCTGCGCTATCTCTATGTTGGCCCTGAGCCCAGGCAGTCACATCATCAGGAGGGTGGATGCTCTCAGGGCTCTTGCAGCCAAATCCTGTCCATACTCTGTAACTAACATTTCCTTCCCTTTCATATGTACATGCTACCCAAAGTGAAGGTCGGCATTGTGCTAACCTAAACAGTGCTTTGAGAAACGGGCCTTGGCCCTAACAGAGACCTTGAACTCCAGGGATATTTGGATCCAAGGCCGTTGTGTAGATCTGGCCCCATCTCTATCACAGGTCCGGAAGTGGGATCAGATCTGGGATCTTGACCTGGGGGCCTGGCTCCATTTCTTGCTGGAACTCACTAGCACCGCTTGCCCAGGTGATGCAGGCAGCATCTGGTATATTGCCAGCATGTTAACCTATGGGATCACTTCCCCTGGACCAGCAGCCAGTCTTGACATTGCCAATAGCATCCCTGCCTACTGCTGCAGGAAGAGCTAGCGCGCTCCTGCATGGGCAGCACAGTGTTTGGTCTCATCCTGGGAAGAATATCCGTAGAGTTTATTGGGAACATTCTTCTAATTCTTCCCTCCCCTCAGCATCCCAGACCACCCATCCTCCTTTCTTTGATGTTTAACCACAGTCAGTATTTGCTCCCTAAATGGAAGTGTCAAATATTTAGAGAGATTTTCATGAAAAAATAAAGTTTGAAATCATCAAATTGTTTCACTTCATCTTTTCTTAAACAAAATCTTTGTATTTTTAACTGAATGTCTGGGTGTTCTAGTTCAGAATTAGAATTATCTTAATTCATGTGGAAGTGAACAACGATATTTTGGAAAACGCACATATTCTGGAACAGGAGTATCTACAGAAGGAATTAATTAGGAATGACAGTTTCACTTTCATGTTGTACCTTAGTCTAATCCATGCTAGCTTCATTGTCATGAAGATAAGCCAAGCTTCCCCCCAGCATTTTAAAGCGGGGGGGGGGAGGCATTTGCATAGGCATTTGCACTGGCTAAATAGATCAGTGCTAAGTCTCACCTTTAACAGAGGCAGTAAAGATCTCCATGAAAGAACTACACAACCTGCCTTTTGGGTAGTTGATTTGAAATGTGATAACTGAAGGTTCAGTACAGAATTAAAGGAGGCAAGCCTAGGGGTACCCGAGTAGTGTGACAATTGAGGGTCCCCCAGTCATTGCCTTTTGCTCTTTCCACCATGTCCACTGCGACTTGTAGGCCCAGCTCTCTGGTCTTTGATATGTATAGTCACAGATAGCAACAAGGGAGAGGCAGCTCCACCCTGGCTAAGTGAAATGCTTTTCCTCCTAGCAAGCATAATTTTCTCCATATGTAACTAAAACTATCCATGTATGGCCTAGGCTACCTAGGCAGTGGCAAATATTTTCTGCAAGTGTGAAATCCATATGCTTGTTTCCAAATCAGGTGTAGTGAAAGGAATATCCTTTTTTTTCCTAGTTGCAGTCAGTGCTTTTAGATGTCTTTTGTATCTACAGTGATCTGTAACCAAATGCTAGAGCCTGCCTGCCCCGGTTAGGGTTAGGGTGGATCAGTTAGATCCGATCTGGTGGATTGGATCTCTGTGATGACTGATAGTTAAAATAGTTATTTTTAAAAGGCTTGCTTTTCCAATGTGGGTTTTAAATGCATATGTATATTCTCATGAAAGGCCAGGTGTTGCTGTTTTGGAAGCACCTACAGCAGTCTGCTCCTATTGCACTTCCATGCCACTGAAAGTTTGGCTGGATTTCACATGGCCTTGTGGATGAAACAACTGCAGCTAGTAGATCTGAAGCAGTAGTCTGGGCTCTGCTTCTGAGTGATAGGCATCCACCATCCATGCCTGAAACTCCACACTAAAAAAGAAAAAAGGAATAAGGGTACTGACCTCATTTGCAAAGCATTTATAATCAACTGAAGAAAACCACTATGTTGAAACTGTGGTATTCTCAAATATGATGGAGCTGTTTAATAGGAATAGCATTATCAGGTTTAGTAGCAAGTGGTAGCTGCTGGCAGCTTCCTATTGTAATTTTTCCTGGTTTCTTTTAGCTGTGTGTTCCAAAAATGCTTCAAAACATACTAAGCAGAAGAGATTCAGCTTTTAGACAGAGGTGAGGATTTGAAGCTCTGTTGCCCCATGGTTACTGATGTGTTTTCCTCAGAGTTCTTTAAAGACTGTCAGGGCAATAGTGGGTAGCGGGGAGCTGGTGACAGAATCTGTTTAGACTTCCAACGGTCGAAACCTTTGAGGAGGTCATCTGCAAAGTTTAACAACGTTAACAACAGGAGACTTGGAATGAGGGAGAGGTATTGTCATACATCAAAAGCTGGATAGGAAATGGAAAGGGAAGAACAGGTGCATCTTCACCATGGGATCTGATGCCTCAACCCCAACTTAAAGCAAAGGAGAGAGAAGAGGAAAAAGAAGTTCCTGGAGTGGGAGAGAAAAGAAAAGCTGACATCCCAGCATAACAGATGGGCTAGGAAATGCCAGATACCCCAGCCTGGGGGAGGAGATGTGAACCACAAGCTGGGCAGCCATGCCAAATGGGAATAGAGAGCGTGGAGGAAATACAGCTTCCTCCATTTTTTTTCTGAATGATTGACCAGGACACTTAGGAGCCTGGCCCATCAGACGCAGGTGGGGAGAGTATCAGGCAGGAGGGATTAGTGAAAGGATCAGAGGTTATGTTTGATTGCATGAGGATGCAGAGCTCTATTGTCAGTGCTACGTGGTCACTGTGCACTTGCCTGGACTGTATTGCTCACATTCCTGATCCACATTGGCTGAGGAACCACAGCACCACCCTACCTTAAGCAGTATCATGGGCATATCCCTTCCACTGCCCGTATTGCCCGAGATGCATTTATATCTTGACAAAATGGGAGATTTCCCTTGTTCCCAAGTTAGACCCTCCTGCCATGTGGCAGAACAGCTTCCTTCCATGTGCCTACTTTGTCCCTGACCCTAAGAGGGACCTTGATGTACCTCCAAAGAAAGGCATCAAGCTCTGGGGTAGTGTGGGTTTCTAAATTTCCTTCCCTCTTCTCTATTGCAGCAACACGGATGTTCACACTGTGGCGTCCCTCCTGAAGCTTTACCTTCGAGAGCTGCCAGAGCCTGTCATCCCCTTTGCCAAATATGAAGACTTTCTTTCTTGTGGACAGCTACTCTCAAAAGATGAGGGAGAGGTCAGTGATCCTTCTAATCTGCCTCCTTCTACCTTGAAGGTTGTTCCCAAGACTCAATATAGTACGGTTTTCTTCTCATCACTCTTCAGTCCTGATTTAAATCAATCCCAGGTTCCTGGGAACCTTCCCCTAAATTTTCCTGAAGCTGCGAATTGGGTGTTAATATCACAGGCTCCTGCTTGAAGCAGGAGCTTTTTTGAAGTCAGTCTTGTAGCCTGGTGGTACTTTCTTCTAAACAAAGCCATTCTGAAGTCAGTCTTGTAGCCTGGTGGTACTTCTAAACAAAGCCATTGTGTAGCATAATCAGCAAGAGATGCAAGGTAGGAGATGTGGGTTCCTTTCTCAGCCTTGCTGTTGACTCATTAGCAAGCTGTATGAAGTCACTCCCTTTTTCTGTGTTTTCAGTTCATGCATCAGAACAGCATGTTCTGCTTCCCAAAGTTTTTGGTGGATGAGACGTTGATCAGTGCGATGGTTTTTGTATTTCTTAGAGGAAAGGTACTACAAAAGAGCAGGCTATGATATTATCCCAAAACGGGGGAAATAATGCTATTAATACTTTGCCAGAACCTTCTTATGATGTTCCTTTCTTTGGTTTCCAGGCAAGGGAAGGGGCTGACAAAAACCTCCAAGTCTGTGGCAATCATGGAAATTTTGATTCACTGCTTGGGAGGAGCAGGATAATTTACAATATGATTGACTGATCTGTTTCATCCATATTGTTCCTCTTGTGGTGATGCCTGAGCTCTTTGCTGACTGCAAAGGCACGTTGGATCTGGTCTAATGTGGGTGGAACTGTGCCACCTTCTAAAACAGAGGTTTAAAGAGGCTGTAAGGGTTGTTACTAATGTCAGCTAAAGAAGCAAAGGCCTAAGGGCTTATAAGTCACAGTCCATAGTTCTGTCCCTTTTCTATGTGTGGCCTCAAAAGCATGCTCACGTCTTTGTCTCTGGTGGGGATTGTAACAACTGTTCTTTACTGAGAGTCTGGGGTTCACCTTTAGTTCAAGTGGCAGAAGGCTCTGGGGAGATTCAGTCCTTCATGCTGCCCATAGGAAGACACTTGTTTGCATGCATCAAATGTAGCGTATCTGGTAATGTCAGTTTTTTACGGATAAAAGGCAAGTTTGCTACGATCTATATGCACATGATGTATCCTCTAGTCAACTCAGAGAAAGCAAATTTCTGTGCACGACACAGCATATTACCACACATGGATATGCATTTGCATCCTGGACACAGCCACATCAGTGTGTCAGTGCACTAGTGTTGTCTTTTAATAGGTACGGGTATGTGTCTACTGGCTCCAAAACTTGCTCATTTTCTGCCTTATCCTCAGTCAACTCGGGCATCTCTGCAGGGTGCTCTGTTACAGACAGCACAACGGTTGATTTCACAAGAAACAGCAGCATTTCTGAGGCAGCGGAGCTGGTTTCATTTTGGTCATAAGATGTGCAGACTGGGGAGTTTTGGATCCATTAAGCACTATTGCACAAGAGTAGAGACACTGCCAAGTTGGGCAAACATAATTGTATATCAGTTGCTCAGCTTATTAACTACGTAGTTTGCCTGATTTTGCCTGCACAGGCTGCAGCAGTTTGGAAAGCAACATCTGTGTTGGTTTTGTGGGAGCAAGGCCAGGCTCAAGTGACTTGTAGTGCAGTATTCTCTTTGGATTAGAAAGGCAATGAGGAGCACTAGATAGCCAAAATGAAAGCTTACAAAATAGGGTACTGCTGATAGCACCAAGTTGTCTTGTTAAGCTGCTGTTGTAAACATAAGCATTTTTTTTGTCAGGAAAATCTGGAACCTCAACAAGGGCTGTTTACTTTTTCAGAAAGGAAGGTGGAGTGCACACACCAAGGGTGGAGAGGCTGTACGTGCACAGTAGCATGTGGAGGAGAAGGTAGCACAAAGTCATACCTAGCCTGTAGGGCCTGACTCGCCTCTCACATGGAAAGTCCCCCTGCTCAAAAATGTGGTTTCATTGAAACCATAATTTTTTAGCACAAAATGATAAGCAAGGAAGTTCAAAGTCAAACGTTTCATTTTGAAGAAGTATTTGGAAACAAAATGCAATCTATTGTTTTAATTTGAAGTATTATTTTGTTTTCATTTTTCACTTGGAAGTTTTGAATGAGACTTTTAGACTCAAAATATCATTTTCTTTAGTTTTGTACACCCACCCCCCAATAAAAACAGAATTACTTAAGGCAAAATAGCTGTTCAGATAAAAATACTGGTACCTCATGCTGCTACATTGTGACCACAGATAGGAATTATTATGATGTTAGCTTGGCCTAATCTCCATCTGCAGCAAAAAATACTCCAGCACTGCACTAAGCTTTCCAATTTTCATTCAGATTGCTGTTCATCTTCATTCTGCACCAAACTAATCTCTGGTGTTGGAATGCAAACAGAAACGTAGCAGAGACCTTGTGTTGTGCTGAGGCCCCTACGTATCTCAGCAGGACTGCAGTGTTAAAAAAGATTTGATTCTGATCCCAACTGGTTGGGAGGAGGGATTGAAAATGAAAAACAATTTTAGACTAAGAATGAATGAAACATCTTCAAATCTCTAAAAACTCATTTGAGTCTGAGCTGACTTAACATGGTAGTCTTTTAGCCTTCACTGCTGCCTGTACTCTAGAGATGCAGGCAGCAGTTCAGTGGGCTCAGCACGTGGCTTTGAGTTTTTAAAGAGGGGTCTGAATTTGGGTGAACATCTGAAGTGTTGCCAGTTTTCCAGTCCAACTAGAAGCTCCTAATTGGTGCTGATCTGTTACACACATCGCAAAATCCTTGGTTTTGGGATCACTACTTGGAAAGCATGCATCTGTGGTAAATTAGACATGCAGCATTTTCAAGGAGGTAAGAGTTATTAGTGAAAAATACCATGATAAATGACAGCGCGGTGCCTCTATTGCTTGCTAGGCTGCAGCCATAAGCATGATCAGTGCTATTTGTCAATAATGCAGCAGTTTCTAGCTTGCATTTTCCTTTACACTTTCTGTGTGGTGTTACTAGGCTCAGCCTTTTGCCGCATGTTGGTCAGGTGGTTGGTGGGTACAAATCTGTGGCAGAGCTGATAAATGCTGCAGCAGGAGAGAAAGCTTTTTTTAACCTGGCAAGTGTTTGTACCTTGACAAATACGAAGATACTCTCTGTGTAATATCACATTTGTGATTCCTCGTGACAAAGCATGGATGATAAATTTTTAGAACCTTTTTTTTCTTTCAGGTAGCATCTTGTACCTTTAGGTCATGTTTCCAGCTGTTCACAACTGCCTGCAGTTTCTGTTCCAAAGCCCCCTCTTGCATCCAGTGGAGCCGTGGTATTTTAATTCAGAGCACTTGAAATACAGTGCCAAATACCATCCTGATTTCTGTATTTGAAATAAATTGGGTTACAGAGCAAAACTCAAGAGGGAATTAGGTCTGTTAGCTCACCCATTTCTAGTTCAAACTTCTCACTTGAAAGCTGGATGACCTGAACAACTGACCTTAACCTTCACATCAGTAGCAGCTGTCCTTGATTCAAATGTTTTCAGAAGTTTAAAAAAGAGGATTGAGATTTTCAAAAGTGACTGGTCTTTTATTGGTGTCTCCATTGTTGTCACTGTTAAACCAGCCTAATTTTTAAGCTAAGGAATTAAAAGGGACTTAACTGCTTTTAAGAATTCTTTTTTAAGTTTCAGGTTTTTATTAGAGGACTCTTTTCTGCTGGGACATATAGAATAAAAAAGTGTCTATACATTCAGGACATTAAGGATGGAGGCAGGAATACAGACTGCTCTCTGGATCTTTTTGACTTGTCTGGACCAGAGAAATCGCAAAGATCTTGCAAGAGGCTGGCCAACAGAATTCCTTCCCTAACAGTCCTTAATAAATCGAGGAGCAGGCAGTAGACACAAACAAATGAATGTCCAACTGCACTTCTTTGCTTGGAACCAGCTGCTTCTGGAATTTCTCCATCATTAGTTAGCAGCCCTTCATCATTGGTTAGCAGCTATCACTCTTCCCAAATGTGCTTGGGTATCTATTTTCCCACAAAAGCTTTAGTTGTGTCAAAAAAATAAGCACATCTCCAGGGCAACTGCAGTATTGACAGGAACAAGCAAATGATGCTTGGGACTATGGAAGGACAATAGCCTTCTGAGTCAGAGGTTTTCATGAGATGATTTAAGTAGCTTCAGGGTTTTAAGTCACTCCTCCAGCAGATGTCTCATCTTACATTTTAATGTAAAGACAGAAATTTTATAAGGAAATATGCCACAGCTCAGAATGACTGCAAATGGAAGTAATTAAAAAGGAGACAGTTGAATTGGAATGTCGTTTAGTTTTTTTAACAAAAAACTCTCCTCTGCTCAGTTGAGCATTACTGCAATGTATTTGTACTGCGCTCAATGCCTCAAAGTTTCAAATAGGCCAGGTGCTGAAGAGGCACATTTGCTGGTACATTTTTACCAATGCTAGTGGGCAGACTTTGAAGACTGACAGGCCTCACTAATTTAAGGCTTCTACGTCAACCATTAAAGTTGACAGGAAGGTTTCCACTGATTTTGAGAACTGAATCAAGTTCTGGACATTGGGGTTTTGGTAAGGCACAACACACTGGATGACACCTTTTTTAAAGCAAAGCCTCCTTGTGTAATCATCTGTTATTCATGGTTTTGACTCTAGAATAAGGACTTTGTAGTACTGAAGGAAAGTCACGTCTGCTTTGCATCATTTATATTAATAGCTCTCCTTGTTTTTCTTGTCCCTCAGGGTACCCAGGAACTGGTTAAACAGGTGAAGAATTTGCCCCAAGCCAACTACAACCTCCTCAAATACATATGCAAGTAAGTGAAATTAATTAACACTTGGAAAAGTCACTAAGTTTTGTGAGGCTCAGTCTTTTATGCAAGTAATTTACTCTGAAAGTATGAATATTCAAACATCACTTATACATATAAGTTACTGCTCCTATAAAACATGTGGAGGTGAACGTGCAGCCTGCCTGAAGGAAGCTCTTGGTTTATCCAAGAGCATCAGCCAAGCAAATTGCTGTCACCCGCAGCCTTGGCAGCAGGCATGAATGATACTAATATATTATATTGTTTATTTCAGAAGCACTTAAAGACCAGTAAAGAAAGGTATTTTTTCCAGGTACTGCACACTTGGAAGATTTATGACACAAGCTGAGTAGCAGATGCAGTCAGAATAGACAGTCTGGCCTCGGCTCTGGTTTGGAAGTGGGGTTGGGAGTGGCTTCCTCTTGGAGTACCAGGGACTCCGCAGCCTTGTCTCCCCTCATCTCTCTGCTGCCTCTCCCAGTTTTTGCAAAGTGGGCTGGAATGTGTTTTGGGAGCTGGAACGGACTGTTAGCCTAGATACAACATAGTGAACTTTATGTTGTATTCTAGTCTCCGTGGTAGTAAGTCCCTTTATGACCAGCGGGATTTGCACATCTGGAGCAGGCAGTAGACACAAACACTGACATGAAGCCCATGACTTATTCAAGATATGTCAAGCCCTTCCCAAGTGTACAGACAGATAGCATTTCTGTATTCTCTGAATGCTTTAAAAAATTTATTTTGCGTTATTATGTACTTCTATAGCCATTTGTTTTAATATCTGAGCACCTCAAAACATGAACGGCTGAGGCAGGGGAATATAATTATACATGTTTCTAAGTGAAGAACTGAGGAAAGGAAAGGCAAGTAGAATTTGCTTCTGACTCAGTGAAGAAAACTGAGGGTTCTTGGGTCTCAGCATAGTGTCTGCCACAGGGCAAAGCCGCAGAAAAAAATGGGAGTGCCTAGAAAAGTCATGCTGCAAGTAGAAGTATTCAAAAATTGGCCAAATAGTGCAGAATGACAAGGAAACTTTTTCCCTGCCAAAACCCATCCAATCATCCAAAAATTAACAATAGTTTAGGAAACGGAGTACAGACAGAGTGAGACTGTTCACTTTTGAGGCCACCGAGCCCTATTTCCTGCAGTTCATACAGTCCTTTTTACAACTTGGCTAATTATATACAAGCTGTCTAGGTGTTTGTTACAGCCTTTCTCTTACTGTAACTCCTATTGGGAGGCTGTTCCAAATTACCAAAACCAAACATTAACTGTTAGAAACTTCCTGCTGATTTCCAGCTTATACGTATGGATAGCCAGTCTGTCTGGATTTCTTCATGTGCTATCTTTGGCTTGCATAGTCTTTTTCTTGTATTGATGCTTGCCCAGCTGATGCATTCGCAAGAAGCATTTGGGCTACCTCTTTATCTGTATTTTGTTAGATTCAAGCAACAAAACTCTTTCCACAGGCTGCTAGTTCTAGGATGAGGAGATGAGTGAAATGTCTTTTTACTTCTGTTATAACTGTAAGTGAAAAATGGCAGAAGTCAATCTGTGTAACTGGAGAATTCCTATAAAAATGTGAAAATCTGTACTTTCATACCCAGTAGAAGGCTGGATCCCTGGCAGGCTGGTACCTCTGGCAGAAACCATCCTGTTCTCTCTTGTTCATACACTAGGAGGGATCTGGGGTTATTATTGAGTATCTAAGCTGCATTAGTCCCTAGGAGCGTTTCAGGTATTGGGGTTGTATAAACACAGGACAAAACTGTTCCTGCCCCAGAATGCCTACAGTCTAAGTATGAGAAGTGACTTACTTATTATTTCTCTCCTTCAATTTTTCTGGGGGGCTTTTCAAGGTTCCTTGATGAAGTTCAGGCTCACTCCAGCATTAACAAGATGAGTGTCCAGAACCTGGCTACAGTATTTGGACCAAATATATTGCGACCCAAAATGGAAGATCCAGTGACCATGATGGAAGGTAGGTACTAATCTTGTGAGATAACACAATACCTGTGTCTTGGAGCTGTAAGAGTATGCTGAAAGTCATACATTCGTTGGCAACTGCATCACTTGACTGCACAGTCAGCAACAAGTCAAGGAATCCCTTTCATCAGTGCCTGTGAGGGGATGTACCACTGGCCTGGGAGTGTCTGTCCTCCCCACCACATGGAGATGGCTCTGCCCTGTTGTAAGTTGTTATGTGAAACTCTTCTTGAACACACTGCTAAAATGAAAGCTCAAATGTTCTTCAGAAGGACCGTGTTTAAGTACCAAACTGCTATTGTTTAGTATTGGTGCATTGGGATGGTTAGACAGCTCCCTGTAAAGGACATTCAGTCCACAATGAAACAGGTACTGTAGTTTTTGCTGTGCCACAGCAAAACTAGGTGTTTTAGAAGTGTTCTCTTCTAAGCAGGCTGTGTATGGGTCAGAACTTCACAAAACCCAAGGAATAAGTTGAAAATCGCTGTTAATTTTGGATGTAAAAATCTGAAGCTTGAAAATTATCTACCTCCATATGGGTCAGGAAACGCCCAGGGCATGATCTCTGGCTGGCTGACACAAGGGTTGGGATACAGCCCCTCTCTCAGGTGGCACTGGAGCACAACTACTGTCATGCAAGTATTAGCAGGGTCTTTGCATCAAGTTTTGTGGGATCGTGGCAAGTCTGCAAAAAGAATTGATGGATTCATCCAGCATTAGGCACAGATGGAGATGTCTGAACTCAGCCCTGGCACTGCTGCTTAGCTGTAGGGGAGAGCTGATGTGGTGTTCTGTGTGATGGAAATCCTTCACAGAACACCAGCATTATCACACCTTAGCAGCAGCAGTGCCTTTAGCTCTGCACAAGTGACCTCTGAAAGGCACTGCAGATGTGTGCCTCACAGATGGCAACCCACTATAAGGTAACAGGCCAACTTCCAAGCATGGCCTGACATACTATAGTTGTTCAGGGACTTGAAGCCTGCCACAGAGATGTGGGCCATATTATTAAGGGTAGTTTGAGACCTTCCCCTCGAAGCGGGGAAGGTACAAAAATGTGGGGAGGAGAAAAAGGGAGTGCAGGAGCAGATGCTGGGTTAGTCAGCATTGCAAAGGTGGGGATAGCTGAAACCTCAATCTGTTGTGTGATGCTGTGACTTGCCCTAGTGGCCAGTTGGCCAGCGGTTGATAAGACTCTTACAGCCTTGGCCAACAGCATGCTTTTTGTTCAGTTGGTACAGATGACAAGTTTGGGTTCAGTTCATCTCAGGCATTTCATTATGCACTTCAGCTGAGGGCAGAGGTGCTTGTACTGTGTGTAGGTGCACAGGTGCCACAGATGCTGTGGTCTCATGGTCTCTCCTAATTATCACATAAAAACATGACAGTGATCTGACCTAGAATTCTGTATTACCACAGACCTGAACAGTAGAAAAATGGGGATGTGGTGACTGGATTTTTTGACTTGATTCATTATACTCATAAGCAACAGCACTGGGAATATTTTGTTTTATTGTTAGTTGAGGATAGAAGATGGGTTAAATAGAAATAATGGATGTATTCCATTGGAAATACATTCCATTTCCATGGAATACATCCATGGAAAGACTCTCAATAAAATTTTTTTAGCTTCAGGGTAGTACACGTCTGCTAATCCATTATACTCATAAGCAACAGCACTGGGAATATTTTGTTTTATTGTTAGTTGAGGATAGAAGATGGGTTAAATAGAAATAATGGATGTATTCCATTGGAAATACATTCCATTTCCATGGAATACATCCATGGAAAGACTCTCAATAAAATTTTTTTAGCTTCAGGGTAGTACACGTCTGCTAAATCAAAAGATACAGAAAAATATTGCTGCCAGTTCTTAACAAAAAGCACTTTAATTGTGTCTCTCTTCAAACTTAAACCATGAATTTCAAATAGAAATATCTGGTTTGACAGCTAAATTGTTAGGAATGCCCTTATGCCTAGAGAGGTTTATTTCTCTCCCTGCACTCTCAGACATAAAATAGAAGTTGTAGGTGAGCTCAGTACCTCTTGCTACCAGGCCGAAACCTCATTATTAAACTCAGGCTCTTATCTTGAACCTCTGAATATGTTAGTCTTATTCTCTATTTCAGACAATTATTAAAGATAGAATTAATTACATATTTGCTCTTTTTAAGGTTTTCCTCTTTTGTAGAAAATGCTTTGTATTAGGTTTGCTAAGTGGTGTTCTCTATTAGTTCATAATGGTCTACTCCACTACTGGAAAACAATGACGACTCATTTCTGTGGATTTAAATAATTGCAAGTACTTTCTGCACACCTTCTGCAGGTGCACGTATCATACAGATGTCATACTTTTTCCAAGTTTCTCAATACACTAAGACTGCAGCAGAAGACCTGAGCTGAAATTTCTGGTTCTTCAGTAAATGCTAGCTCTGGGCCTGTTAAGATTATGAAACTGGGTGCAACGTAGTTGTGGAAACCTGCTGTTTTGGAAGCTGGATGGAGAGGTGCTCCATCCCAGCTAATAGGTTAGTGTGTTCAGGATCCAGCATGCATCTCTGCACAGGGCTATGCTGTCCTGCATGGATGCATATGCTGAGATTGGCGCTGGCTCTGAACCCCATGCCATAGTGTAGTACAGACATGCCCTGCTTTCCAGGTGTCCTCCTCCTCTGCCATCCTTAAAAGGTGTCCTTAAGCAGGCCAATTTATTAATCATAGAATCACAGAACAGTTTGGGTTGGAAGGGACCTTTAAAGGTCATCTAGTCCAAACCCCCTGCAATGAGCAGGGACATCTTCAACCAGATCAGGTTGCTCAGAGCCCCGTCCAGCCTGACCTTGAATGTTTCCAGGGATGGGGCATCTACCACCTCTCTGGGCAA